GGAATTAAGTGGAAAGCTTAAGATGGGAAGGTAATTTTTACGTCGGAAAGTCCTGGGTTTTATGAACTGCCTGTAATAATGTCAAGACCAGCTGAAGCTGCGGGAGTTGTGAGGTTTTTAGTGGCAATTGGACACCCTTCGTTTGTTCTAATTGTCGATTGAAATCCCTTGAATGAAAATTAACGATTGGAAGTTTTTCCCCCTGCCGCCTCCGAAGGGAGGAAACCAGCAGGGATCCTGCAAATAGAAAGAAGGCCTTTACGCCTTTTTTTTAAGCGGGTTTTTTTTCCAGAGTGGCAACAGCCCAAATCACCTACAGGTAGTCCTCGGGTTGCAACAGTTTGTTTAGCGACAGTTCAGAGTTACGACGGCAGTGAAGAATGGAGCTCAGGATCGTTTTTCATGCTTACGACTGTTACAGGGTCTCCATGGCCATATGATCAATCCACAGTTGTCCTCCTCCTGCTCCCCTCTTCCTCTTCCTCCTCCCCCTCCCACCCTCCTTTCTGCAAGCCCCACCCCCACTTCCCTAGAAGGGAATATTGGTAGCTCGGGATCCAACTGTGGGAGGAGGACAAAGATGAGGACTATGCAACCCATGGTGCTCTCTAAGCTTGGTTGTTTTCTTGCAGACATTTCATTACCCACCTAGGTGATATCATCAGGGCTGGAAGGGGTTTGAAGAGAGGAGGAGGACTGTGGCATCCTTGGTGCTCTCTGATGTTGGTGGCTTTATTGTAGACTGATGATGTTACCTAGTCTGTTAATGAGACGTCTGCAAGAAAACCACCAAGCTCAGAGAGCATGAAGGAATCCACAGTCTTCCTTGTCGTCGTTGTCGTTGTCGTCGTCCTCCTCTTCCTCCTCTTCCTCNGCCCTGGCCCCCTCTCTGCCTCCGACACAGAGCCCTCCTCAGAGCCTTCCCCAGACTCCAGGACTGGCCCAGGTTCCTCCCCAACCTCCTCACTGCCCGAATCTACTGCCAACTCCGGTGGCCGCTCACGGGCCATAACAGGTCCTTGGTTGTTTCCTTGCAGAGACGTTTCATGACCCAACTAGGTAACATCATCAGTGCTAGAAGGGAGTTCCGTTTGGTCTCAGTTTTGTAAGGGTGTGGGGAGGAAGAGGAACGGGAGAGGGTTTTGGATGACGACTGTGGGGTCCTTGGTGCTTTCTGAGATTGTTTCTTTCCTTGCAGACATTTTATTACCCAACTAGGAAACATCATCAGTACTAGAAGGGAGTGTGGTTTGGGAGGGAGAGGAGGAGGAGGAATGTGGGGTCCTTACTGCTCTCTGAGCTTGGTGGTTTCCTTGCAGACATTTCACGACCCAACTAGGTAACCTCATCAGTGCCAGAAGAGAGGGGGGGTTTAGTCTCTTTTCCTGTCTTGTGTAATGTCAGTTTGTCTGACCGTTCCATGATTGGAATATTGTTTTGGTCTGATATTAATCTGGGAGTTCATCTGTGCTTCTTTGGGTGCTGAATGATGCTGGGGAGGGAGTGGAGGGGGGTCTGGTGTCTTTTCCCTTTTTGGCTGGTTCATTGTGTCTCTTGCATTGTCTGTAGATGTTGCTTATGTCTATTGTGTCTTCTGATGGCTGCTTTCTGGATATTATAATCATCTTTAAAAGCTCTGATTTTCTAGAAGGCAGTTTGTCCCATCAATTCTTTCCTCCCCCCCCCCCAGTAGCTTTTTTAAGGACTTGTGTTCTTATTCTGGGCACAGGGGCAGATTTTCACAGCTGGCCCTGGGCTTCATGCGACGCTTTCTCTCTTTTATTTGCTAGGAAAGCTTCAAAAACCGAGAGGGGCACCTCTGGGAATCAGGACGAGGCTGAAGTGCCCCCTTTGGTAGAAAGTGCTCTTGGGGCTGGGTCTCTCGTGCTTTTGAGACTTCAGTCTCGCAGCTCGTAGCAAAAGTAGCGCGTTTGATCCATTTTTTTTCATTCCGCTTCTGATCTGAACTCAATTCTGGTGTTTACTGAATTCATTTTGCACACTCGTGCTGGAAACGGAAGGTGGCACTAAGTATGTTTCGCCTTTCACCGGGGAGGGGGGGGGAGTTGTCCAGCTGTGCTGGATCACAGTTCCCATGCATCAGATGTTAGGGACGATGGGACTTGTGTTCCAGATATTAGGGACAACGGTAGCTGTGTTCCAGATGTTGGGGACCAGTGGAAGTTGCAGTCCAGACAACAGGGATGGTGAGAGTTAGATTCCAGATGCCAGAGACGATGGGAGTCGCATTCCAGATGTCAAGGCTGATGAAAGTTGTGTTCCAGATGCTAGCAATGGGGGGGAGAGTTGCATTCCAGATGTCGGAGCTGGTGAAAGCCATGTTCCAGATGCCAGGAATAATGCGAGCCACATTCCAGATGTCAGGCCTGGTGAATGCTGTGTTCCATATGCTAGGAATGATGGGAGTTGCATTCCAGATGTCGGGTCTGATTAAAGTTATGGTCCAGATGTCAGGAATGGTGGGAGCCACATTCCAGATGTCAAGGCTGGTGAAGGTTGTGGTCCAGATGTTGGGAATGATGGGAGGCACATTCCAGAATTCAGGGCGGATGAAAGTTTTGTTCCAGAAGCCAGGAATGCTGGGAGTCACATTCCAGATGTCAGGGCTGACGAAAGCTGTGTTCCAGATGCTAGGAATGGTGGAGAGAGTTGCATTCCAGATGTCAGAGCAGATGAAAGCCATGTTCCAGATGTCAGGGACCACGGTAGCCACATTCCAGATGTCAAGGCTGGTGAGGGTTGCGGTCCAGATGTTGGGAATGGTGGGAGCCGCAATCCAGATGCCAGGGCTGATTAAAGCTATGGTCCAGATGTCAGGAATGGCGGGAGCCACATTCCAGATGTCAAGGCGGGTGAAGGTTGCGTTCCAGATGTCAGGAACAATGAGAGTGGCATTCCAGATGTCAGGGATGTTGTAAATAACAGAATCGTGTTCTGATAAGCTTTGGGAGAAGAGGAATTGCCACTGTGATCCTTGCCCTTGAGTTTGTTTTGAGCCACTTCTCAGGGCAAATGTAATTGTTCCACCGCAGTTAGATTTGGAATACCTCTGGGATCGATGAAGGTAGAAGTGGTCCTTGACTTACGACCAGTCGCTTAGCAAGCTTTTGAACTTACGACAAACCTCCCCAGAACTACTTAAGACTCAATTTTGGTTCCACTGGCTGCCCCTTATTCTCCCCCTCTCCCCGTCATGTGGGGGTTGGAGGGGGGGCAGAAATTCCGACTTGGGGTCTGCTTCGGCCTCCTGGTGGGGGGGCTTTGGGCGAAGGCTGGAGGGAAGAGCCGCTGGTGGTGAAGAGCCGGAGGGCCTCGTTCC